ATGCAGGTTGTCCGGCAAATAACCTCCAAGGCCGACCCAAACAATAACCGCTCTCTGTGGCCGCTGGCATGCCTGCTGCTAACCCCGCACTTAGGGCCCGGCTAGCCTCCTAGTTGGTCGTGCGCTCCGAAGTCAAAATTCTTCCTGCTTGTTCTCCGTTCCTCTGTATACAGAATAAACTACTCCTACTATTCTGGCTTCCGTCGACTTCTTTTCTCCTAAGGACACATGGTCTGAAGATCGCAGTTACTAGGGTTTAACTTACTTAACCCCCTGCGATAGGAATGCAATTACGGTTACATTTTAATTGGGATTCAACGCAAACCGATGTTCAGTTCCAAAAAGAAGCAGGCTACGTTTCCAGTCGATAAAATTCTATAATGCTAGCACATCAGGTTTAATACTGTCAGTACTGCGTTGGTCTGCTATGAGGATGAATTCGTCTTATGTGTCCGGCTCACATTCTCGTTTTCCCCTCCAATGCTTTGGTTGAATAACCTAACATTAAAACCAACTAATAATGGGATTGAGCGCAGTAACCACATAGCGAGTATAGACGATCGATAACGCGATCCCACGCTAAGAATAAGTCAAGATAAGCCGAGCAAAATAGCCACCATGTAACTGCCTACACCGACCAGTGAAGAACAAAGGCAGTGAGTCAGATATCAGCTATTGATACCATAATTCACATCAGTTGTGGTGTTGCACGCAGCAGTTAGTATGCGAACTTAAACAAATAGAGATGAACGCAAGATAGGTAAATGCGTAACAAACAGAATCAATGCAAAAGTTTGTGTATAAATAAAAGTATGACAAAGTTTCGGATAAGTAAATGTATGGCAAATGGCTATCAGTGTACACCCTGACTAGGCCGAAGGTAAATGCCGCGTTAGAATGATAAAACAGTCGGGAAAGTGGAATGTCGATGGCATCAGAATATTTCGGGTCAGGGATATGTAGGTAGGGAAGTTGGAGGAAACGAAATAGGGTGAGCACAGTTTTGTCCATGACGTACTCCGGCAGCGCTCCGCGGTGACAGCAGCGATCCCGATCGACATTGACCACGTCCGCTTTGGCACCACGAAGGATCCAGCTGGTTTTTTTCGTTACGTGAGATAACACGGAACGGCTCTTCGTATGGTGTTTCCAGTGGTCTTTGCACGCGATCGCATCGAACATACACATGGT